TATATATATATATATATATATATATATATATATATAAGGCAATTTGAAAACTTCCACAAGACGGTGCAATGAGTTGAGTTGCGAGGAGGAGTATGGATTGCTGTTGTGCATCTGTAGCATACTCTGAGTGAAGTTGTTGTATTTATTTCTACTTCTACTTGCATGCAGGCCGCCCCATAGCCAAAAGGGTTAACTTAGCGTGTAAGAAGTGTATAGCGAGTGTTAGTGTTTACAGCGAAGGAGGCATCTGGTTATGCCTTGAATGCAACTCATCACAGGCACTGACACCTCACCAAGCCATCAGCCTCATCTCTCTCTCTCTGTGCAGTTGCGCCCAGAGCGACTTAAATATTTGTTGTAATTTAAATAGTTGTAATTTGTATATAGCGCTGAAGTTTCGCAAGAAAAAAAGAAAAACAAGAGATCGGCTGCAGTAACACCAGCAGCAGCAGCTGCTGCTGCTGCTGCAGCTGCTTTGTAGCGGATGTCAACAGTTCCATACAAAAATATTTCTGAAATGTTTTTGAATATGTTGCAGCGCGCCTGTAGCCTGCTGCTCTGCCCACAGTAAACACAGCAGCTTTCACTTGGTATTGGTAGGTTTTGTGTATGCAAATACTAACGTTATACAAGTATATTCAGAGATAAAACATGCAGCAAAGAAAGCTTCAATAAGATTCCTTGTGTACACGCGTGAGGCTGCAGCTGCTACCAGCTGCAGCGACCCCACCCAGGCCCTGAGCTCAACGCCCAGGAGGCCTGAAGAGAGGCAGATGTCAGCTGCTGCTGCGAAACTCTTACTTTATGTTTTTACCTACACTGCAGCTCTCTTCTGTGTGTCGTGTATTAAGGCCAGAGAGAAACTGTTGTAGTGCTCTGGAGGACTTCTCGCTATTTACGATTAATTTTCATGAGTTAATGTAATTATATCTTATTTCTTCACTTTCATCAGTTTAAAAAGTTTTAAAAATGCAAATTGGCATTTGTGGTTGAGGCTTGCTTGAAGCCGCTTTCTCTCAGGAAAGCTGTACTACTACTACCGCAACATACAACAGCAACGCGGGAACCTGAAAGATATTTGCACCAAAAGCTAGGAAACTTTCTGATATTTATGAATATTAAAACAAGAATTTATTCTTTTTTAATATTACACCATTAGACATGCAAAAATTTATATATTTAATCAATGAGTTGACCCCTGATCGGCTGTGTCCGTGCTACCGACCTTCGTTGCTCTTGAGCATGCAGTGGTACTGCCGCCGCCAAGGCATTGCCGATGCGATGCAGCGAAACTCAAAGTAAATATATTTTATTTATTTTAAAATCAATGAAACAATTAATATGATTTCTTTATTGACTTTGTATTTATATTTAGAAGAGCTTCTAGGCACCCAAACTTCTCTCATCGGCGGCCACGATATTTCTGTTTTCATCTCTCCGGTGGTTCATCAGAGCGGTATGAATTGTTGCATTTTTTCCTGTTCAGATTAAGAGGATATTTTGAAAAAAAAACAGAAAACAATGTATTTTAAAAGGAGATTTATGAATTCAAATTAAATTTTTTGCAAACTCAAAAGAAAAAAAAAAAAAAAAAAAAANAAAAAAAAAAAAAAAAAAAAAAAAAAAACGACGGCTGCAGGATTCGAACCTGCGCGGGCAGAGCCCAGTGGATTTCGAGTCCACCTCCTTAACCACTCGGACAAACCGCCATGGTGGCGGTGGTTTGGCGGTTTCTGTATTGATGTATTATAAGAAACAGCAGCAGCAGCAGCAGCAACGGCTTGCAGCAGCTGTTTATAGCTTTAAAAACTACTATAAACTCTCCCTCTATCTTCTTTTTATATTATATATACACACTCATGGATGAACAAACACACACACCAACCCGTGCACCCACGCACAGCCAGCAGCAGCTTCCTACAGCTGACGCAACAGGTAGACAGCCGGCAGTGTACGCTGTACCGGTAAATATCGGGGGATCAGCAGCAGCAGCAACATCTCCACCAGCAGCAGCAGCAGCAGCAGCAGCAGCAGCA